ATTTTTTTTTTTTAATATTATGCCCAAGTCTGGCCCAATTGGGCCAGACCTGGCCCATTAAGCTAAACATCTTCATTCATCATCTTCTTCGTCTAAACACGGCAATATGCAGCAGCTCCGTCGAACAGAAGCAGTGAGCTCCTCATTCGGCAGGGAGCAAAAAATATCCAATTTTATTTATTTTTTTTTTTAATTCTTAATGCGGAAAATTATTTTCAGCAGTCCAGAAAAGTTAATTGCATACTCAAAAATATTTACACATGTATCTCAATTATATAACAAAATATATATATGTGCAAACATTTAAGCAATTAAAAAAAACTAGGCAGAGATTATTTATGGCGACTGATACCAACTGTTAGACTAAAATATCACATGCATAACCTTATATGTGATAATAGGATCGTACTAACCTCCAGCCATAGTTCTTCTTACGGTTGAGCGATCCGGACTACTGCAGAGATGATAAGTGCTTTGTCTCTCACTTTACTCAGCTCTCTCTAGATGGTGTATGAGGTATGTAATGTGAGCAGTGAGAGGACTAGTGACCTTATATAACCACTGGCCATCATTGTGGTTGATTGTCTTTAGGTCTCCTAAACCCTAACTAGACTCCTAATCATAATGGTAGTCTAGTTGTTAGGTTATTAGTGTTGCACCACATATCAAATACTGAATATTATCATAACTTATCCTAATGTTATAATAATAGTAACGGATAAACGTTACATTGCAATCAACCAAGGCCCACTTACTTGGACCTTGGTATGGCTAAGGTCGTTCCAAAGCTTACTGCGGAGGTGGAGATTGGGGCTACCATACACCAGAGCCGTACGTCGCCGCTGCTTCCTTGTCGCTGGCTTGCCTCCATCGCCGACCAAGTGAAGGGAAAAACTAAGGATGGTGATGGGTGTTGCTGTTTAGAAGGGAGGGAAAATGACGAGAGGGGGTGAGAGGAAAAATGGCGGTGGTTCATGGTGGCCGGTGCTCCATCATCATTATGGTGTTGTTTGGCCGACAGGGAGAAACGAGAGGGGAGACGAAAGGAATGGGTGAAGCTGCTAATTCTATCCATAACAAAATAACACACACACACACACACACATATATATATATATAATATTGGATCCAATGAGACCCCTAGCCAGGTGAGATCGTGAGACTTCATCTTGATCGTTTATTTGTAATTTTTAACGTTTTAGATCTGTTTCATTTTAATCCCATATGAGAATGATATTATTATTAATCAGGGTTGTTTTGGTCTTTTGTCACTCTCATTATTACTTGCCATTATTACTTCCGCCGGTAAAAGTGTTGTTAGCGTTATTTTTTGTCCAAAATCTTCTGTCGTTATTTTCTTCACAGACTTCTGCAAAGTCTCTTCAGTTTCTTTCCTATCAGAAGTCTTGTCTCAGCGCGACGCAAGGGTTGGCGATTCCTCTCAACGACGCAAGGGTTGCGACTCCTCCGGTTGGCGATCGCGTCCTCTCCAGTGCCGGTGTATCCGTGTCGTCCAGGTAGTCTACATGGCTGGTTCATCTACCAGGAAAACAAAGTGTCATAAGGGAAGTGCGTCCGGTTCTCCGCAAGGTATCCCTTTGTTCCTGGTCTCCTTTGTACCTGTTGCTTTATCCGGTCTGGGTTATTGTTTCCGTTGGGGGAGGGGGGGGGGTATCGTGGGGGTGGTCGGCGGAAAGGTGCTTTTGGGGGTTCGCCTAGAAGTTGTGGAGTAATAACTGAAGGTTGAGTAATAATATGCATAATCTAACCTGAAAGGCACTAATTCACCTAAAAGGCACTAATTCAGGCATAGCATATAATTCAGACCTAAAAGGCTCTAAATTTTTCTTAATGAACATGCTTTTCTATAGGCATATAATTATAACAATCAAATAATTATTGCAATAAAGAGATAAATAGCATGCTCAGATTATGCATATTACTCACAAATACTCCACAATTAAATTGCAACACTTAATACAATTTAAACTGAAAAACATTATTAAATTAAAAATTCAACTGAAAAATTAAAACTGAATAATTATTCAAAGTTGAATAATAATTTAATAATAGACTTAATAAAAAAAAATTCAATTGGATAATTTAATTAGAAGAAGTCCAAATATGATGAAGATGTTAATCTGAATGAATTGATGTAGTCCAAATATCAATTCAGATTTGACCCAAAACCATAACAGGCCCAAATTTAATAAAACAAATTTTTTTTTTTAATATTATGCCCAAGTCTGGCCCAATTGGGCCAGACCTGGCCCATTAAGCTAAACATCTTCATTCATCATCTTCTTTGTCTAAACACGACAATATGCAGCAGCTCCGTCGAACAGAAGCAGTGAGCTCCTCATTCGGCAGGGAGCAAAAAATATCCAATTTTATTTATTTATTTTTTTAATTCTTAATGCGGAAAATTATTTTCAGCAGTCCAGAAAAGTTAATTGCATACTCAAAAATATTTACACATGTATCTCAATTATATAACAAAATATATATATGTGCAAACATTTAAGCAATTAAAAAAAACTAGGCAGAGATTATTTATGGCGACTGATACCAACTGTTAGACTAAAATATCACATGCATAACCTTATATGTGATAATAGGATCGTACTAACCTCCAGCCATAGTTCTTCTTACAGTTGAGCGATCCGGACTACTGCAGAGATGATAAGTGCTTTGTCTCTCACTTTACTCAGCTCTCTCTAGATGGTGTATGAGGTATGTAATGTGAGCAGTGAGAGGACTAGTGACCTTATATAACCACTGGCCATCATTGTGGTTGATTGTCTTTAGGTCTCCTAAACCCTAACTAGACTCCTAATCATAATGGTAGTCTAGTTGTTAGGTTATTAGTGTTGCACCACATATCAAATACTGAATATTATCATAACTTATCCTAATGTTATAATAATAGTAACGGATAAACGTTACATTGCAATCAACCAAGGCCCACTTACTTGGACCTTGGTATGGCTAAGGTCGTTCCAAAGCTTACTGCGGAGGTGGAGATTGGGGCTACCATACACCAGAGCCGTACGTCGCCGCTGCTTCCTTGTCGCTGGCTTGCCTCCATCGCCGACCAAGTGAAGGGAAAAACTAAGGATGGTGATGGGTGTTGCTGTTTAGAAGGGAGGGAAAATGACGAGAGGGGGTGAGAGGAAAAATGGCGGTGGTTCATGGTGGCCGGTGCTCCATCATCATTATGGTGTTGTTTGGCCGACAGGGAGAAACGAGAGGGGAGACGAAAGGAATGGGTGAAGCTGCTAATTCTATCCATAACAAAATAACACACACACACACACACACACATATATATATATAATATTGGATCCAATGAGACCCCTAGCCAGGTGAGATCGTGAGACTTCATCTTGATCGTTTATTTGTAATTTTTAACGTTTTAGATCTGTTTCATTTTAATCCCATATGAGAATGATATTATTATTAATCAGGGTTGTTTTGGTCTTTTGTCACTCTCATTATTACTTGCCATTATTACTTCCGCCGGTAAAAGTGTTGTTAGCGTTATTTTTTGTCCAAAATCTTCTGTCGTTATTTTCTTCACAGACTTCTGCAAAGTCTCTTCAGTTTCTTTCCTATCAGAAGTCTTGTCTCAGCGCGACGCAAGGGTTGGCGATTCCTCTCAACGACGCAAGGGTTGCGACTCCTCCGGTTGGCGATCGCGTCCTCTCCAGTGCCGGTGTATCCGTGTCGTCCAGGTAGTCTACATGGCTGGTTCATCTACCAGGAAAACAAAGTGTCATAAGGGAAGTGCGTCCGGTTCTCCGCAAGGTATCCCTTTGTTCCTGGTCTCCTTTGTACCTGCTGCTTTATCCGGTCTGGGTTATTGTTTCCGTTGGGGGAGGGGGGGGGGGGGTATCGTGGGGGTGGTCGGCGGAAAGGTGCTTTTGGGGGTTCGCCTAGAAGTTGTTTTTTTTTTGTTTGTTTTTTATTAACGTGATTGTGATTTCCGATGGGGGGGGGGGGTGGCAGTCCGGCCTGGGTTTTGAGTTATTTTCTGGTCCTAGCGTGGGGGTTTGGAATGGGGGTTCTGGGGCGGCTGGTATTGGGTGTTGGGGGTGTGGGGTTGGGAGGCGGTAGATTTTTTAGGGTTTTGCGGGTTTTTTGTTTTCTCTCTTTGTTTTTAGGATGTGCGATTTTTGGTTCTCGAATCTCACAGTTTGTAGATTTCACAACACTATTTGTGTGCTTGCGGTTTTTTGGTGTGCATGCATTTTATAATGTTGTAATGTAGCTGGAGAAATTTGGAATTTAATTTGAATGATAGGTGGTGCAGTCACTTGGATCATATTGGAGCTCTTCCATATTTCACTGAAGTTTGTGAGTATAATGGACCCATTTACATGACAGTAATATGCTTCTAATTTTATTCTTTAAAAAAATTTTTGTTCTTGGTTGTTTCATTGTAATAGACAAAGAAATATTCTGTTGTATTTCTTTGAGGGTAACATTAACGGTTCATCAGTATCCCACAAAAGCCTTGGGTCCGTTAATGATAGAAGATTATCAGAAAGTGATGGTTGACAAAAAGGGGAAAAACAGAGCAATTTACTGCAGAGCACATTGTGGAATGCATGAAGAAAGGTATTTGCTTTTCATTATTACTCCCTAATTTTATTAACTATATTTTTTCATGATTTTGTGAGTTCTGATGAAAAAAAAACCCGTGGACTCCACTTTTGTTTGGGCTCAAAGATGTGGATAAGATGGAGCATTGGGCAAGGTGGTGAGATCTCATTTTAACCCACTATAGGCCTCACAGTTCACACAATCACACCTATAATGAGAACTACAATTTTTTTTTACAGATGCGTAGGGTTTCCGGTAATTTTTCTTCTCTTTCTCCCTATTAGGGTTTTTCTTCTCTTTCTCCCTTTAGGGTTTCCGGCAATTTTTTTCCGACAACCTGTTTCCGTACGACAGCAAGCCGTGCGACGTCGACACAGTGCACCTGCATGGCTTCGATGGAGCGACAGCAGCAAGATGATGGCATAGCGGCGATCGCAGAGCGCTGGGGAGACATGGTTCTGGAAGACGAGGAGGATGGGGTTGATGCGGGCGGTGCGTATGAGCCGGCGCCGGGAGATGGGGGGGGGGTGGTTTATTCGGTAGTTGGCCATTTTTTGACCAAGAAACTAATCAAAGTGGAGTATATGCGGCAGGTTTTAGCATCGGTATGGCAGCCGGTGTTTGGAATGCGGGTAACGGAATTGCACTCGAATTTGTTCTTATTTGCTTTTTATCACGAAACTGATATGGTGCGAGTACTGGAGGAGGGGCCGTGGTCCTTCGATAATCATACGTTGGTGTGTCGCCGGGTCCCTGCTGGTTATCTCCCGGGGGAGGTTAAATTGGATACCCTGGATATGTGGATACAAGTCTATGATTTGCCGTTGGGTTATACATCTAATGTGGTGCTTGAACAAGTTGGGAATTTTGTGGGAACATTTATTCATTGTGATGACCGCCGTGTTGGGGGACCGGTCAAGACTTTCTACCGGGTACGGGTCGCAGTTCCGGTTGACAAACCGTTAAAGCGGCGTATGAAACTCATACGGCGTGATAAGACATGGGGTTGGGTTAATTTGAAGTATGAACGCCTACATAATTTCTGCTTCTATTATGGCATATTGGGACATCTTGAAAAATTTTGTGCGAAGGCCAGGGTTTCGGGAGTCAACCGGGAGCATTACCCGTATGGCGACTGGATGAGGGCGGGCCAAACCAGGGGACCGAGGCAAGTAGGAGCCGCCTGGCTGCTCCCGCCGGTGGAGGCCGTACCACCACAACCGAACCGTCTGCCTACGGTGGTGGAAGGTGCAGCGTCTTCGGATGACTCCCAGGGAGATGTTCGGATGATGGGGGCGCAGTGTGAGCCGGAGGAGGGTGTGGAAGCCTCGTCAAAACGACGTCGTGCGACCACGAATGTTGATACTGATGAGCTTAGTAGGCCGAGTGATATGGGGGAAGACAGCGGTTTAAAAAACTTTTTTATGGCGGGTCTAGGTTCCCAGACCCGCCCGATCCAATGAGTACATTAAGCTGGAACTGCCGTGGCTTGGGTAATCCACGGACAGTTCGTGAAGTTGTGGACCTTGCGTCCCGTAAGAAGCCCGATTTTATTTTCTTGATGGAAACAATGGTGGAAAGAATACATGCTGAGCGTATTCGTGTGAAACTTGGTTTTGAAGGTTTGTTCTATGTTGATGGCAAAGGTACGAGTGGTGGGCTAGCTTTGTTGTGGCGGAAAAATAATACGGCAAGATTATTGAGTTACTCGAAGAATTATGTTGATATAGTAGTTACTATGGCTGGTTTCCCAGACTGGCGTATGACGTGCTACTATGGCTTCTCGCAGCGTGATAGGCGTGTGGAGTCGTGGGATTTACTGAGATCCCTGTCGGGTAAGTCACATCTCCCGTGGATTGTTGTGGGGGATTTTAATGACTTGCTCTATCAGCATGAGAAAAGAGGAGGATGCCCGCATCCGAATAGACTATTACGAGGGTTTGGGGAGGCACTGGAGGACTGTGGTTTAACCCAAATGCCAATGAATGGGTATCAGTTTACCTGGGAAAAGAGTAAGGGAACGCCCAACTGGATCGAGGAAAGACTGGACAAAGTGCTTGTCACTGAGAGCTGGCGTAGTACAGTGGTGGGAGCCAGGGTGACAAATCTTATTACTAGAAAGTCGGATCATACTGCTCTGTTTCTAGGGATCCATGACTCCGTAGTGAGGGGTCGAACTGCTAGGAGGGGCTTCCGGTTTGAGATGGCATGGTTGCACGATGAGGGGTGTAGAGGTGTGGTGGAGCAGGCTTGGGGGGAAGCGAGAATGAGAGGGCTGCAGGACTGTATTGAGTTCTGTGGTGCTCGTTTGTCAAAGTGGGGTGGCGATCAATACCACAAGTATGGGGAGCAGATTGTGTCCCTACGAAAAGAGCAGCAACGTATAAGGGGGAACACTGACCTGGTTTCTTTAGCTGAGTTCCAAAGGATAGAAAGCCTGCTAACCCGCCTTGAGACTCAGGAAGATGCGTACTGGAGACAGAGAGCCAAACAACACTGGCTTAGAGGTGCAGATGCCAACACTAAATTTTTCCACAGGTATGCCTCTCACCGTAAAAAGAAAAATACTTTGTCTAGATTAAAGAATGATATTGGGGATTGGGTGGAAGGAGATGCTATGAAGGGGGTTATTATGAACTATTTTGACCATATTTTCTGCACTGAACATCCGGGAGAAAATGTGATTGTTTTTTGAGGGGGTGAACCCACGAGTAACGCAAGAGCATAATGACTGGCTGCTTAGACCTTTTGAGTGCGAGGAAGTGAAAACAGCGTTATTTGCAATGTTCCCAGATAAGGCACCGGGACCGGATGGAATGAATCCGGGATTTTATCAACAATTTTGGGATGTAGTGGGGGGGGGGGGGGGGGGGGGGGGGGGGGGGGGGGGGGGATGTCTCGAGTTTTGTAGTTGGATGTCTGCAGTCTCGGGAATTCCCGCCTGGATTAAATGATACAGATGTAATTCTGATCCCAAAGAAGAGTGCTCCCGAATTAGTTACTGATCTCAGGCCCATAGCCCTCAGTAATGTGGTGTATAGGATAATGGCGAAGGTAATAGCAAACAGAATGAAACCCATAATGGATGAATTGATATCGGTTTCGCAGAGTGCTTTTATACCCGATAGGCTCATTACGGATAATATATTGATAGCTGCGGAGATAGGTCATTACTTGAACCGGAAGCAGTGTGGAAAGGTGGGGTGGGGTGCTCTCAAGCTAGATATGGCCAAGGCTTATGACAGAATGGAGTGGTCTTTCCTACGCAACATGCTTGTAGCGCTGGGATTTGACAACAGATGGGTGGAGTTGATTATGTTATGTGTAACCTCAGTGTCTTATAATTTCTTGATTAATGGTTCGCGTAGTGACACGATTATGCCTACTCGTGGATTAAGACAAGGGGATCCTTTGTCTCCTTATCTTTTTATTATATGTGCAGAAGGGCTCGTTGTTATTACAGCAGGCACAGGCTAGGGGTTCAATTCATGGTTGTAGAGTTGCAAGGGGTGCCCCCCCCCCCCCCCCAATATCTCATTTGTTTTTTGCTGATGATAGTCTGCTCTTTTTCAAAGCCAATGCCCAGGAAGCCAGTGAGATTAAAAATTGCTTATCTATGTATGAGAAGTTGTCTGGACAGGTAGTTAATTATCACAAGTCAAGTATATGCTATAGCAAGAATACTGACGAAGTTGATAGGAATGAGGTGGCACAGATTCTGGGTGTGGTTCAGGCTCCTAATTTTGGAAAGTATTTGGGACTCCCATCGTTTGTAGGGAGGAATAAAAAAGCAGCCTTTGCATATATTGAGGACAAAATCAGACACAGGATTGGGTCATGGAATAAGAAGTTGCTATCACAGGCTGGTAAAGAAATCTTTTTGAAAAGTGTAGCACAATCTATGCCTACTTTTTCAATGAGTGTTTTTTTTATTACCTGCGACTATGTGTACGGCAATTGAGAGAGTTATGAACCGCTATTGGTGGGGAACTGGCAATAGTCAAGGAATACATTGGAAAGCGTGGGACAAATTGTGTATCCCAAAGAAGCTTGGCGGACTGGGCTTCAAAGATCTGAGGGCGTTCAATTTGGCCATGTTAGGGAAACAAGCATGGCGCCTACTTACCAAGCCAGAATCTTTGGTGGCAGCTGTTTATAAAGCCAGATATTACCCCAGGAATTCGTTTTATGAGGCAGAAGTGGGAAATAATCCTAGTTTTTGCTAGCGAAGTATTATGGCAGCAAAGAGCCTGATTTGTAGTGGTGTCAGGCGCAGGATTGGGAATGGTAACGACACATCAATATGGGCACATCCATGGATACAGGATGAACAGGAACCTATGATACAAACGGACATGCCTGTGCAATTAGCAGATGCGAAAGTTGTGGGGTTGATTGATCAGGATACTGGTACGTGGGATCACTCAATTCTCACTGACTTGTTCCAACCTATAGATGTGGAGAATATAGAGAAGATACTTATTTCCCCAGGATATGACGATTCATGGTATTGGCACGGGGACCCAAAAGGAACCTATTCGGTCAAGAATGGGTACAGACGCATTGTGGGAAATTATGAGCCTAATAATGGATCTTTTGATAAATGGCTCGCCCTGTGGAGCCTAAAAATCCCACCCAAATGGAAAACCTTTCTATGGAGAGCAATTAGTGATATCCTCCCAACCACTGCAAATTTGATTATAAAGAGAGTGGAAGTGGACCCAATTTGTGCTATGTGTGGAAATGTTCAAGAGGATACTATGCATGCCTTAGTGTTGTGTGATTTTGCGAAAGCCATTTGGGAACGATCTAGCCTTCCAATCCCCAATATTGTGACGAATGTTTTTCATATTTGGTTCTCTGAGCTCCTAAATGTTCTAGACTCTAATAGAATGTTATATGCAACAGCAATCTTATATCATATTTGGAGAGCACGGAATGGAGCGGTATGGGATGCCGTTATGCCACGGCCCACGAAACTCCTCGCCACGGTCACGGCAACCGTGGAAGCTTGGCGCAACACACGGCTGCCGCCCCAGCCCGTAGCACAGCTGCAACAACATACTCACACGATGGCACAACCCCACAACACGACGACGCAACTACGCAGGATATGCCACGTGGATGCCGGCTACCTCCACGACTCCGGTGTAGCAACGGTGGGGGCAATCTTACTCGATGCAGATGGCGGATACGTGGCAGCATTCAGTGCCCCCCTTCCAACTTGTTTTTCACCACTCATGGCAGAGGCGCTTGCGTGCAAAGAAGCGTTATCATGGCTTAAAAACCAGGGTGAGACGTCAGTACATCTATACACAGATTGCCTATCGTTGCAACGATATCTTATTGCACCCTCATCTTCAGTTCGTTCGTATGTTGGTTATTCCTTTGATAGCTGTAGGTCCATTGCAGCTTCGTTTAATTCTTGTTCTTTTAATTTCATTCCTAGAACAGATAATTATTTAGCTCATGCGTTAGCATCTGCTGCGTTCCAGCAGCCTACTATTTTGTATTGGGATCTATCCCCACCTGAAATTATTGCAGCATTTTTCTAATAGAAGCACCATGAAAATTTCAAAAAAAAAGAACAGGAAATTGCCAAATTCAAGTTGAACCCTTTCACTTGGAAAAAATCCACACTTTTCCTGAAACAAGCAATATCATCAGCAAGTATTTTGTGAGGAAATTCAAGTGCACTTGGTCTGTGAGTTACTTCATGTTGGGTTTACTGGTTTATTGTAAATGTAATTTCACAGTGGTGTGTGCATTGTTGTGATATGGTGTGTGCGTTAATTCTTGTTGTTTTTTTTTTTTTTTTAAATGTACATAAATGTGTATAAACCGTGGGATTTATTTATTTATTTATTTTTATGTTCTTGTTGGTAGAATATACAACACATGGCCTTTGCGTTACCTCAGGTAGTTTTGATTTTGTTACTTGGTTTTGGATGGTGTCTGCAAATTACTGGGTGATGTGTGCATTGTTGTGCAATAATATTTGTAATGTACTAAAAATATTGTTTGGGCTTTAGGTGTGTGCGTCATAGTGGCAGAGTGTGTGCGTTACATTTATCAGTTTCTTAATTTTATTCGATTTTTCATTTTTGGTGTTGTGTATTGTGGTGAATGCTAGTTATGAAGGAGGTATGTGCGTTTCAAATTATAAGTTTGTGCTTCCGGTGTGGTTGCATATTTTAGTGTGTGCGTTTGAGGAGTTTCCAGTTTGCATTTATGTTTTTTTCTTTTAAATTTTTGTTATTGTGATGTACTCTAAATATTAATTAGGGTGTTGGGTGTGTGCGTCAAAGTGCGGAGTCCATGGTTTATATTAAGGTATGAGCAAATGTTTGTAGTATGCTAGTTAATCTAGTCAAGTGCAATAAATAATACATTCTTTTTCACTATAGTCTATTGTTACTTTGTGTTTCTTGTTATATTCGTTTATTTAAGTTGTTCTTTGGTCTATTACATCGTAACGCACACACCACACTCCGTGCATGCACACACATGGTCATTCCATTCCTTTGCTTTATGAAATGCACGCTCTCGTATACGCTCATGCACACACTCGTGAACAATACGCACACACTTACCCCTATGTTTGCACATGCCATGGAGTAGTGTAATACAACCAACAACACAAATAACAATGTTGGTGCATCACTCTGTCGCATGTAAAATTCTATACTTGTTAAAAAAATATGGTAGTTCATCCTACAATTCTCATATTTCATTTTGACATATTCTCTTTCTTTTTTAATCTCGCATGCGGATTTTTGTTCCTAAATGGTATGCATACTTTTAAATTCTGAGTCTATTTACTTTGTTTATTTATTTATTAATTTCAATTTTTTATTAAGTTTGTCATACGCCTATACAAAAATCAGATTTATATAGTTGAGTTTTGTTGGTTACGTAATTCTAATAAACTTGCACAATCCTAAAAATAAAAACAAATGCACACTCATAGTTGCAATGCTTACCTAAAGACACAGTGTTATACACACGCCAGATCCAACGCAACCACATCCCATTACAAAAAATAAAAAAATAAAAATCCAACATGATGCAATGTTCCATTGCTAGAAGTTTGCACAGGCCATACCACACAAATGCACACACCACCGTAAAAAAAATAAAAATAAAACAAAAAAAATTACACAAAATTCTAATGTCAGGCTAACGCACACGCCACCACCAATTTGTGCACACAAATGCACACGCCACCGTAATAAAAAAACGACATGATGCAAAAGTTCAATTGTCAAACATTTGCATACGCCATACTACACAAATGCACACACCACCGTAAAAAATAAAAATAAAACAAAAAAATTAAGCAAAATTCCATTGCCAGGCTAACACACACGCCACCACCAATTCGCACACACAAATGCACACGCTGCACACCTTAACACAAACACGCACACAACAGCGCCATATCAACACATTCGAATAATACCCTTTCCGTCGATTTCATTCAAAACAAACTAACAATTTCATTCCACGCACACCCCTAATAATAAATCTGTGTACAAAAATGAATTATCGGAAGTTGGAAACCCCTTTACCCAACAATTTGCACTCACCATACCATGGTTACGCATACACTTCAAATGTTATAAAACACATACCAACATAAAATAACATCTATGTTCAACAAAAAATAAACGGAATACCCATCTTACCTTCTTTTCCATTTTTTTTTTAAAAAAAAGGAAAACACAATACGTTACGCACACATCTAATAATAATTTTCTACAAGAAAACACCGTCGGGGCCAAAAAAAAACTTTCTCATGCCTTATGAAGTAGACACGTTGCACACACCGTCACACATACACGCACACACCAGCGTGTATAAAAAAATCCAACAAGAATGAATTACTACAATGTGTTCATGGTTTGAGTGGTACAGCTACTAACAAGAATGAATTACTACTTATTTCATTTTGTGGTCTATTATTATATCAAAGATTCCCATCTAATTCTAACCAAAATTAACACAATAATAGAATTACTTTTTAACCATTCTAATTAAAATATGACCTTATTTACACTATATTTCTCATTCAATCTCATCCTTCCATTAGAAATATATTAATGAATGAGATGTGATCTCATTTAATATGGGTTACTAACAAATAAGGAAACTAACAAATAAGGAAAATTATTCCACTTAAACACATTATAATTATTTTTTTTATTTTAATGCTACTGACTCTATTACAAAATGTATCTGTTCATATACTTTCTCAACCTACTGAAACACAAAGAACCAATAATGCCCCTAATGAGACTTGAACTCACAACTTTCTAAATGAAAGTCCAACCCAAGTACCATTAGACTACATAGTATTGGTACATTACAATGATCTAATATTTGATTCAAAATACAATTCTGATTCCAATGTTTAAATCAATCGCCCCAAATTATTTAATTTCCTTTACAAAATTCACTGTTTATTTGTACGTCTAAAATTCAACGACATAACATTATTTATATACTAGTATTTGTCTCGTGCGATGCACGAGAAATATGTTATAAAAATATATCATATATGAGGTTTATTCATATATAAAAATTTTGTTATTTAATAATTATGTGTGAATTGCTATGACACAATTATGAACATAAATATATTTACAATTAAAATAAGAATTGATATTTAAGGAGGGTGTTTACTACAAATCTTAAATTCTAGAAATCTCAAAGGTCTAAAATTTTTGATCCGTGGTGACTCTGGAAATTGTAATTCAATTACTATTGTAGTTTACTAAGTTCTTAAAAATGTGTAATATTAAATACTATGTACTAAATTTTTAAGATTGACCTCATTAGAATAATCTCAATTGAAGTTTATTTGTGAGTTTTTGGATGGATTGAATGAGGCAAGAGAGATGAAAATGAATTAAGATTAATTTGAATTTTTATACACCATGTAATAAATAAATAAATAAATAAATAAATCTTAACTATAATATAACCATATGGTTTGGTGAGCAATTATTGTTACAATAATTGCTCACCAAACCATATGACTATATTATAATTAAGATTTCTTTTAAAAATACTCATTCTAAAATCAGAATCTATACTCTATGCTATATATAAAAACAAAATCCTGAAATTTTAACTTCCCGCCCAATTCCTAAAAAGTATTTATTCCTAATAAAATATATTGATTTCTACTTTCCTATTTGTACAATAGTTCTAGGTTAAAATTCTATTCTAAGATTATAAAATAGTGTAATACAATTCCTATTGTAATCTATACTATATATATATAAACAAAATCCTGAAATTTTAACTTCCCGCCCAATTTCTAAAAAATCTTCCTTTATAATTGGTCAAATTATTTAATTATGATAAATTAGGGAATAATTAATGATGGTAATAGAAATCCTAGAAGAATATAGAATTGAAAAATATTTAATTATTGTTATGTTATTATTGTGACTCACGGAATACAATACAAGAATATTTAATTATGGTTATATTCCTAACGGCCATTATATACTAACAGAACTTGAAAAGAAACTAATAATAATAATATAATAATAATGATAATATAAGTGGTAATAATAATATCTAAAAGTAATTAAGTGTTAATAATAATAGTAAGAATATTAACGTAAGAATTATAACATAGAATAAATCGTAATAATTAATAACTATAGTCTAGGATTAAATTTGAAATTGTCAGGAAAAATAAGCGACCTGTGGTGAAATTAACCCTTAAATAATTATATATCGATTTAAATATTCATAATATATTACAACAATTCCATTCCGTGCATCGCACGGGTAAAAATACTAGTTAATAATTATAATACAAAGACATTACTCAACCTAACTCGAACTTTAAATTGTCTTTTAACTTAATATTCACAATTTCTACTATACAAATAAGAGCCAAAGAAAGTTAGGCCTATAATGGGTAGAAAAAATGATGTCAAATTATTAAATTAAATGAATGGTTCGGATTGTTCAAATTTTAATTTTTGCATGAGATTTCCTAATTTATCTTAATTATATTATCCGTTAACTTTTCCGTTAAATATTATCTTCTCTGTCAATTCACCGTTAACATTGCCTAGAAATCCTTATAGAATTATAATATTAAAGTCTTAACAGAACTCTAACCCACAAATCCTTATAGAATTATAACTATACCATTAGTTTACAAATGCAAGATAATATAGTCAATTAATTTAAAATTATTTCTCTTAATTAATTTATTGATAATGAATAATTTTTTTAATAAAGACATTGTAGGGATAATGTCTACTATACAAATAAGAGCCAAAGAAAGTTAGGCCTATAATGGGTAGAAAAAATGATGTCAAATTATTAAATTAAATGAATGGTTCGGATTGTTCAATTTTTGCATGAGATTTCCTAATTTATCTTAATTATATTATCCGTTAACTTTTCTGTTAAATATTATCTTCTCTGTCAATTCACCGTTAACATTGCCTAGAAATCCTTATAGAATTATAATATTAAAGTCTTAACAGAACTCTAACCCACAAATCCTTATAGAATTATAACT